TTTGGATTGCTATGTTCTTGATTTTCTTTCCTTCCTATTTATGTTTTCTTGGATGTCTCTACCCACTATTTACACTTTTCTGCAGGTTTTAGGGTAAATTGAGTGATGTCTCATTAGATGTTGAAAACAAACTGCTTTTTCAAAAACACATACCCTAAATTACTGCATGAAAATTAAAGCTTAATGTTTAATCTACAAATGTTTCATTGATTTTTAAAAAAAAGTTCACACCAGAACTGCAGTACAAATGCATAACAAACTGTTTTTGTTTTCATTTTTCCTGGTGTTTAGAATTGCAGAATATGTGTAGAGTGTGGCACACGATCTAGTTCTCAGTGGCACCACAATTGCCTGGTATGTGACAGTTGTTACCAACAGCAGGATAACTTATGTCCTTTCTGTGGGAAGTGCTACCACCCAGAACTGCAGAAAGACATGCTTCATTGTAATATGTGCAAAAGGTAAGAAGATAACAGTTACTCCATTTAAGTGTCTGTCAGTTCTTCTGTTCACGTGATCATCTGCTCTACCATGTATCTTCAAGATCCAAGCTTTTGTCATCCCAGTAATCCTTTTAATACACAGTACTGTTAGAGATGGAATTAAATTATGTTTTTAGGAGTCTTAAAGGCATAAGTGAGTGGACAAAAAATAAGACCAGAAACAAGCATTAAGAGGGAAAAATAAAGAGGAAATAGGTTGAAGATGTTATTTTAAAAAAAGCCAACACCTTTAATCCAAAACCCAAAAATGACAGCTCCTTTTCTAGAACCTTCAGTTGCTAACCCCTGTAACCTCTCTTCTGCCATCCTTACCCCTTCCTACATCCAGTTTTTCAACGATTATCTCTCTCTTCCCAAGATATTAATTTGACTTTAAATTAGAAAATTTTATTTAAATATATTTATCATGGCAGATGGGTTCACTTAGAATGTGACAAACCAACAGATCATGAACTGGATTCTCAGCTCAAAGAAGAGTACATCTGTCTGTATTGTAAACACTTAGCTGAGCTGGAGCCTGGTGATGAGGTGGAGATGGCTGAACTCGCTGCAGGTAAACCTGAGAATTTCGGTTTTTTATGATACTGTGTCAGCCAGTCACCAGTATATTACTTTAGTAATAATGAGGGAATCCCATGTATCAGATTGCATCTTATTTTTAACTTCTGTGCATGTGATCTTGGTCATCTCTGAATCTGATGGCTGACATATAATCTAGCTTCTTTACAACTGTTGTCCTAACATTTGAATTCTAGGACTGGTGTACTTTCCTCCAGTTGTGTTTTTTGAGCCAACAGTGGAAGTTCCTTAGTGGTAGGCTCACTTCATATTCTGGGCTATTTTACTCCAAATAAATTTTAGTTTTATTATGTCCTTTTAAATGTTAATTCTCATGTCTTGAGCCCACATTTCTGTTCAGATATTTTTATTAGTATACCTTTGGTTATAAGTTAATAGCAAGATTCTTAGATGGTAAACGGAACAGAACTACTGATCATATTGCTTTCATTTTCATCAATAAGAATGGCCATTTCTATAAAAGTCGTCTTTTTTCATCTGCAAGGGGTTTAAGTAGACATCTTGGTTACTAATGTTTTGTTTCCAGTATGCTTCAGTATACAGTTGTGGAATATCCTTTTAAAATAATAAAATGCCAGTTACCTCTTAATTCATTATATTTTCCATATTTTAAAAATTGTTAATATAGATTTGGTTCAAAGTATAAAAATCTGGACAATTACTAGTGGCATTTCTAGTGATTATTAACCTCACTGGAACAAAGTAATAACTGTTGACTTAACAAAAAACAGAAAGACTCATTCTAAGCTAAAGGATAAATAATTTTCTGTTAAGATTATAACAATGAAATGGAAGTTGAAGGCTCTGAAGACCACATGGTATTTCTGGAACAAGCAGTTGATAAAGAGGTCAATGGTCAGGAGTCCATACCTGGAATTGTTCCAGAGGGTAAGAATGTTTTTGATAATGGATATAGTCTATTCTCTGAAGAAAATGTATATAAACAGTGAACATGTGAATGTCTGCTAAAATGTTAGTACCCTAAATAAAAATTAGCCAAGACATAGTCACTTAGGAAATTATTTGGAGAGGAGCCTTTTAAAGTAAAATAACCTTAGACAGAAATTAATAGGGGAAAGGGTGTGTATATATATATGTATGTATGTATTTATAGTTCAGCTGTAATCTAGACTTAATCATAAATATCTACTTTGTTTAGGGATCAAGTGATTTTCATTAAAAAGCAATTTCTTTCTTTCTTTAGTCATACTTGTAATTACTAACTAGAGCTGTTGGTGATTGTGAGACGTTTCATGCTGAGATAATGAAAAATTCATTGTTTTAGATTATCTCCGCAGCCCCATTGAGGATTATTTCAGCTATTTCAATGATACTTCAATTAAGCTTTTTGCAATATTGATAGTAGGAATTATTGTACTTGAGGATCTGGAATTAATGAGAGACCGCACTGGGGAAAAACTACTTATTGTATTTAATCTTGATCTCACCTGAAAGTCTGTGAGATGGTGTGTGAGACTGTATGTTACATAGATTGAGTATATACATAGAAACCTGGAGATTTTTTGAGGTTAAGTTAACAAATCTCATTAAAAAGTATACTTCATAAAGATGTCAAGTGAAGAAAAATAAGAAAACTATAATAGAAAATCTTACCATACATTCCTAATTTCATCTTGATACTCTGCTTACAAATAGATAGTAATAGGATGTCTTATGCTTACATTGGAAATTGGCATTTGGTAGTAGGATAAATATCTTACTCAAATCATTGATGAGAAAGCAGGGTTAGAGAAATTTTGCCTCCTTGCTAGAGATTGCATAAACATGTTCTTCACGGCAGTTCCCGTCCATACTGGAGAGCAGCAGAAGGGAGACGCCCCAGAGAGCCTCAACACGCATGCTCCTCTCGTTTCCGGTAAGCGGTGTGGTCGTATCGTCTAAGTGTGTTGACTTAGAACAGAATGCCTCTCCGGTTGCTGTGCAGAGTCCAGTCATTGTCTGTTAACTTTAAAAATTAATTCTACCAGAGCACATGCTTAGCATGCACAAGGTCCTGGATTTAATCCCCAGTACCTCCATTAAAGGGGGAAAACCAAAACCCACCTAATTTACCACCCCCCAACACCAAAAAATTAATGAATTAGTTCTACCAAAGAATTGTTTATTGTTGCTACATGCGCATTACAGTAATGAAATCTCTGGGTTAAGTGATCCTTTTCTTGAAAAACAATCAGCAGTGGATTTCTAGAGCAGAAATAGAGCGTGTTTCTGTTTTTATCATGCCCCTCCTGCCTAGCCCAGAAGAAAGGATATGCCATGTTCTGTATCTGTGTTGTACATGGTCCTGTTTGCCAGCGAGGTGTGAGGTAGTCAGTCTCCTATCGGCATGTAATGTAGGCTTCATACAGCATTACATTGAGATTGTTGTACTTGAGTCACTTGAATGATGGTGCTTGTGGTTGTTTAACCCATAAATGTTCACTCCATTTATGTATATTTAATTTTCTGTTTTAAAAATCTATTTTTTATCACTTTCAAAATACTAAGTATTTTTGAGGCATTTTTGAGGCATTTTTGTGTTTAAAGATACTTAGTATGATTATATCTTCTATTTGATTTTTTTTTTTCCTTTTCAACTCTTTTAGTAAAGCAGAAAATAAGAAGTGAGATTTCATATGGGTATCAGAACTTAGATAAACTTCAGTCACTGTGGTAAATAGTAAATAAGGAAATTAATGTCTTTATTAATGTACCTTAGAAATTACCTTGATAGCATTTGAAATGAGTGTTTTTTTAATCTTCAGTGGTCTTACTTTATAAAGCCACTTAGGGTTCAAGTCCATTGGACTGCTAACCTTACTCCTTATTTATTTATTTATTTATTTTGGTGGGGGGGGTAGTTAGGTAGGTATGTATGTATTTATTTATATAGGGGGTACCGGGGGTTGAACCCAGGACCTTGTGCATGCTAGGCACACACTCTACCACCGAGCTCTACCCTTCCACTCTTAATTCTTAATTTGTTATTAAGTGTAGCCAATTTACAATGTCCGACCTTACTCTTAAGTAGCATTGGGTTAAAGGTTTAAGACAGTAGTACTCTGATTTAAAATTCACTCGTCAGCGACTAATGGGACTTCTAATGTCTTATTATGTTTATTGATTTGCTAAGATTAGTTTTTTTGGTTATAGATGATGAGGAAGAACAAGGATTCCATCCAAAAAATGTATTGACTATGTTAGTAGGACAGCTAAGCAAAATAAATCTTTTCTTTCTGTTGTCATTACTCATTTGAGTCTGCAGAAGCTTTTTGCATCTGGTGTGTCTGCTTACTGGACATATCATATCATATAACTAAACCTCATTTTCATAGCTGTAAAATCTGTGTAACTTCATCTCTAAAATTTTAAATCATTTTGTAAGTTCTCAAACTGTAAAACATCATGTATGTATAATAGTTATATTAGAAATTAATTCTATTTTCTTATTCTTACCAGAAATTACCTTAAGCTTTGGGGATCCTATTAAGGCAGTGTTTCTGTGGGTTTTCTTGTCTGATCTGTGACTGATTGTAACCCATAAGCCCTGGTGTATTTTGGCCTTCACTAGTTTAGTAATTGCTTCTCTTGATGAATACCTTCTGATTTAAGTCATAGTTTTAACCAAAAGTATGTTTTGGAAGTTCCCCCCTCCCACTTTTTAAGAAGGAGAGCTACAGGCATATAAGACATTAGTGTTTTACTTCTACTCATAGTTAGAAATTTTAAAATTCACATGTACATTAACATAATAAATATTCCAAATTTTATAGAATCGTCCCAAGATAAAATGAATCCTGAATTGGAAAATCAGATTTCTCATGAAATGGGTAGTGAAAAAATGGAAATGTCTTCTAAAGTAATGCATATTTGTAGTGAAGATCAAAATGAAAACAAAATGGAAGTGACAGAGACCGTTGAAGTCCTTGTTCCCCGGGTGACTGTGCAGCGGGAGGAGCTACAGTTGCTAGCTCACCCTAAGGTAGAGGCTTCCACAGAAGAATCAAGGCCTCCAACAGTAATCGCTGAACCTGTCACTGTTCCACCAGAAACCTTAGTGTCCCCGTGTCGGGAAAGTACTTCTTTCTGTTCTAAGGAACCGTTGGCTACAGAGAGGGTACGAGAAGAAATGGAACAGAAAGAAAATTCTGAACCTTCTAATGCACTTATGGACTTTGAAATGACTCCTGCATCTGAAAGTTCTGTGAAAGATGGTTTATGCCAAGAAGACAAATCTATAAAATTACCATCTGAGACAGAGTCATCATTTTCATCAGCAGCGGACATAAGCAAAGCAAATGTGTCTTCCTCCCCACCCCTTTCTTCAGACTTGCCTTCCCACGACATGCTGCATAGTTACCCTTCAGCTCTCAATGCTTCTGTTGGAAACATCATGCCAACAACTTACATTTCAGTCACTCCAAAAATTGGCATGGGTAAACCAGCTATTACCAAAAGAAAATTTTCTCCTGGTAGACCTCGGTCCAAACAGGTATGGCGATTTTAATGGTGTTGACGGAAAAGATGTTGCAGGAGTTGTGTAAAATAGGAATGTGTGTGTGTGGCTTTGTTTTAGAAGTCAGTTTGTTCTATCTTCAGGGAGAACTTATGTTGACTTATTTGTTTTGGCCATTAAAAAAATACTCTTAATGTAGACTAATTTATTAAACTGGAAGCGGTCTTATTGGAATTATAGCTTAGTTGGGACACGCAAATCAACCTATTTCATTGTAGTTTCTAATAGAAAACACTTGGAAAAAATTTTGGTTCTATGCCACAGTAACAATAGAGCTTTAAAAAACAGTAAAGCTTTGAGTATAGTGTAAATAACGTTTAGTTTTCCCTTCTTGTATATTTTTTTGTTGTTATCATTCATTGTACATATTTTTAACTACTTAAGCGTCAGATTTTACTAAAGTTTTTCACACTGGGAAATTTCTCATTTTGATTTTTTTGTTAATTGCTAACTTTTATGGGATTTTTTTGTTTTAAGTTGGGATTCATTTCAATGATTTCATGAAAAAAAATCCTGGAATTGTTGATCTCCAGGAAGTAAAGGGAGCTCTTCCCATGACTGTTTTCAGGTGTGTGGACTCTGCACTGTAAGGGTGGGTTCCAGTTCTTGTGAGATTGGCGTGAAACTACAAGGCAGAATTGAAGATGCTGTAGCTAAGAATTATGTGTTCTACAAAATTCCTACTTTCTGAAGTTCTTAGAAAATTGCAGGATACTAAACAGTGCAGAAGTTTAGTTGCAATAATCATTTGGGGAGTTTTAAGTCTCATGATTTAAATTGCTTTCGGTGATTAAAGTTTGACTTTTTAATAAGAATAGTAATATCTTGATCTTGATCATCTAATTGTAAGATCAATTGAAAAATTAAGTCATACTTCATTTTAATGTGAAAATTAGTCTGTAGTTAGTTTTACACCAAAGGCAAAGTGGTTGCCACATGGGATTTAACTGTTTTTCTGTGGCAAAGGCATGCGCACTAAACTCAAACACAGTATGTTGCCTTTGTCTAAGTATTTTACTTGATACTTTCTGTTACCAAGAGATTCTTCTTTTCAATCTAGTTCTCTTCCTCTTTAGTTGTTTTCCTTTTTCTCTTTTTGAATAGCATATACTAATTATGTAGTTCGGGCTCTGAAAAGACTTTAGCAATGGAAATTTGAATTTCACATTTAATTTTGGTTCTGATATTTACATTCTTTAAGGATGTTGCATCATAAATATTCCTGTTAAATTTTAGAGACTTCTGTTCCAATTGAGAAACCATTATGATTGTTTTTCTGTTGACTTATGTTGCAGAATAGTGTGGGCATGTATATGTGTATTTGTGTGAGAGTGTGTATGTGTGTATATTTTTCTCTTCTAGGTTCGTCCCATTTTATATTAGCCATGCCCTGATGTTTATTATTGCTTCTGCTATGTTGTCTTCCAATTCTGGTAGTATTCCAATTTGTATTTCACCACCACTGTCTCATCACTACTTCACTTTCTGCTGGTAATTCCATAAACGGCTTGTTCTACCTCCCAGTTAGTCTGGTTTTAATTGTATAGGAAACAGCCTTCCCTTGGTGATTCAGAGCTGCTTGTTACATGGCTGTTTTTGTGATGAGTATGGATTGGGTAGAACAAGACCACTCATCCTCTCTTTACCCTTTTGGTATCATCTCACTTTATGGGAAAATATTTAATGAAATCACAGGACTGATTTAATTCAGACATTCCTGTACTAATTGCTTTGTGGAGAGTACTGAAAGTTTCCACTGAATCTGTGACATACGTTTTCTTAGAAAATAAGTACTCTTAACCTAATTTTTAAACTCTCAAATTCCAAGAAGTTTTCTTAATTTTACCTTTCCACCATTTTTTTGTTAACGTCATATATGTGGAAAGCTTAGGCATTTCCATAAGTTCTAAGACATGTCTGAGAGATTCTTGCAGAGAAGGTGAAATTTTTTCAGTATAGTAGATTTCCAAAAATGGTACTTCATTAGATCATAACACTTTCCCATTACATTGTGAACTGGATTTCTTATTTTTCATCAATTTAAGTAGCTAATTAAGAACCCTGGAATTTTATGACATGCATGTGTACTACAGCAGCACTTTAAATGAGTGTTTTGAATTAACATATCAGTTTCATAATCTGTTCCTGTGAGAGAAAAACAGGCCTCCAGTGATGAGCTGTAGAGGACTGTAGTTTTGTTGACAATTGCAAGTAAGCAATTCCCTCCCCTCCCCTCCCGCCTCTTTCAATGGTAGACACCATGTCTGGTTTGTAGACATAAATCTTTTAGTAAGATGTACTGTTGATGTTTTGGGGGTTTTGTTTTGTTTTTGCTTTTAAAAAAAGAAGTCAGGTCTGAAAATCATATTGTCCAAATAAGGAGAGATTCAGTTCTTGAAAACTTATTTCATACCCAGCTTTTTAAGTAAAATAAGTTTGAATTTTGAAATATTGTTTTATATAATGTATACACAGTGATATTCATTAAAGGAAATTACCTTAGTAGTTCTGTTTTTCTGTTCTCAGATACCTGTGAGTTAAAACCTACACATCTTGATACTTTTAGAACCTATCAAAGGTTTCATTAGTGAATAATATTCTCTATTCTTTATGAGCAAAATGTGGAGTAGAGGTTGGCAGTGATTTTTCCACATACCTTCTAGTCTAAATACTATGCTGCCTTTAAAAAAAAGTGACTTTTAAGAAGTATTTTGTATTGTTTACATATGTTTGTAGTATAGTTAACTGACACTGAGAAAGATCGGTCAGTATAAATCCGGCGTGCACATTTCCGTAGTGCAGTTGTTTGGCTGCAAAGCTGTATTCTTTATTACTGCCTGTGTGACACCAAGCAGGTTGCCTTGTAAAACTCTTGACTCATCTGGAAGACTCTCTCAGATTTTTTTTTAAATTAGCAATCACACACATAAAGCACCTGACACATAGCAGACAGTAGTGCTGCCCTGCTTTCTTTCTTGCATTGCAGAATAATGCAAATATTTGGTGAAAATGCAGACTTGAGGAGGATATAATATACCTGTGTTAAATGTAGCTCTGGAGTGGTGGTCCTGAAACCGAATAGACTGACTAAAAACTGTTTCTAAAGAAATGTGCCAGTGAAAATAACCACAGACCTGACTGAGCCAAACACTGGCCTCAGTACATCCAGCATGTAGTAGGCTTTCGGGTTCAAGGCCGCATAGTGGTTGCACAGATTTTAGAACTGAACTGCCTGTTAATTATGCTGTGTGTGATGCGGGCTGCAGTAGAGAAAACCACAAGGGACTGGGAAAGCAGAAAAGGTGAGAGGAAAAACGCAGGCTTACATACTTAGGCATGTTTTCTAGGAGGAATGACCAAAACCGTCCCTACTTGGAGTGTGACCCGCAGACCAGGATTATCAGTACCACCTGGGAGTTTGCTAGGCTGACTCTTAGGCCCCCACCTTACCTGGAGTGAGAAGGTCCATTGTAAGAAAATCCCCCGTTCAGGGGGAGGTCCAAGAAGCGCTGCTCTAAACAATCGGGAAAGTATAGTTTTCAAACTAAAAAATGTCTAGTCCTTTGGGGTGTCAAGCTACAGCACATAACGATTAGAAATATTAGACATCCCTCTTAGTTTTCTTGTGCCTGTTATTTTTTTTAAGCCATTACCAAAACCATTGCTAGCACCAGCCAAATTCACATTCTTAAATTACTGAAGGTGGAAGCTGGCAACAGCTATTTCTGTACTTCCCCTGTAAGATACTCTGTATCTTCTCAAGTCACTATCAGGGCTAAATTTCTTGTTCTGTTTGGTGTTGAACTCATTTATTTATAACTTATTTATGTGAAATTAATTCTGTAAGTCGCAGAAATGAATTGTTTGCTGCTGTAGCTGTGATGTACATGAGTGAATGTAACAAAGACAAATTATAAATGCTTAACGTTTTCTGTTTCTTTTACTAGTTGTCCTCCTTTTTGCGCTCTCTTCACCGTTTGCACTTTGTCTAAATCAGGCTCAGCCTTTAATAGCAGTCTTGGTTTTGCACAGTATATTGGGTGAGGGTGGACTCGAGGACTTGGAGGTGTTAAGCTGTGCAGGAGACGCCAGACCTTCTCTGGCCCCTCTTCAGACTGATTCAGTAGGTTAGGACACTCTTGGGTTCTAATTATGACATCGATCATATTTGATAGCCAGAGTCGCCCATAACCACTATTGTTACCATGTCCCTATTCCCACAGTCCGTGTAGTTTACTAGGTCAGTAAGTTTACCTGAGAAGCTGGCCTCAAAGCAGAAAGGTTAATACCAACTTTACACAGTTTGGGGGTTCAGTGATTGTTGTTGGAATCTCATTCAGTCTCTTCCAAGTAGTAGTTTTTAAGTTTCTTTGTGATTTGAGAGCAAGTTGTTAAGTTTAGCTCCCTTTGTCACTTAAATTCTCCTGATGGTTACCTGTTCTAACCCTTTTGCTTTTAATTCAGTTTGTAGGTAGTTTAAGAGTAACAGTGCATTGGATAGATCAGTTATTTATTTTTTTTAATAAGTAAGGAATTCTAGGCTACAGTTGGCAGAATGTATGTTTCATATCAGTACAGTGTTTATTGATGCATTTATGTATACATGCGTGCAGAAATGCTCAGTAGAAAAAGATAGTTCAGTAAGTGCTGAACGGAATGTTTAACACAGCGTAGTAAACAAAAAGCAGTCTCTTTTCATGGATCTTGTTCTCCAGTGGCAACAGAAAAATACAAGTGTAGTTAAAGTAAAACCAAGTGTAACAACAGTAAAGCATGTTGCAGCAGATGGGGGGAGCTAACCTCTTCTGAATGGTCTAAGTTCTTTATGATCAAAGCTGAGATCTGAAGGGTAATTTATAACTAATTTTCTTCAGTTCCTATAAAATTGCACGTCCTCTGTCTTCCCAGTGCCTTATGATAACATACTTATTAAAATTTGTAATCACCTAAGCTTTTAATATACAAGTTTTTCATAGCAGTTGAATGGATCTGTAATTATCCCTGAAATGGCATCTAAACATTCTTAATCTATAGAACCCTTCATTTCCTTCATCCATGCTGTGAGAAGTGTGAATGCTTTTTGAAATGAGATAAATTTTGGCATTAAAGCTATCTTTTCAATGATGATGAATAATACAACGTTATTTTAGCATATGACTTTTTGTGGTATGTTTTAAGAACTGTCTACTGATAACATTAAATGATCTACCAAAAGGAATTTGAGATATACACTAGCCAGTATCCTTAGGGGAAAAATACTGAGTGGAAATATTGAGAGAGCTAAATTTAGATACCTCTTGCTCCCACACTCTACCACTAAGTAATTATAAACAATAAAACATCTGATGCTGAATTACGATCAATAATGATATGAAAGGTGTGGTGAGGGAGATGATAGTTTCTTGGTGTGCTAGGAAAAGGACTCTCTGATGAGGAAGTACTTAAGGCCACAGCTGAAGAATTAGAAGGCACCGGCCATTGGAAAGTTGGTGCAGTTCTGAGTCAGTAGGTCCCCATTAGGAGCTTGGTGCGGGAAGGGAGCCACGTAGTGAGGGCATACGGGCAGTGAGAGATGCCAGAAGATGAGGTTGGAGGAACAGTGGGAAAGATCTGATTTTATTGTTCTGTGGATCACTTGCCAAGGGTTTAGGACAGGGTTGTAGTGTCTTGTTTGGTCAGATTTACATTTGTTTGAAGTCCCTCTGGCTGCCTGTGGAGAGAGGCTTGAGGTGCAGGTGAGGCGTGAAGGGCAGGGGACAGCTGGGGTCGGCTGTGGAGTGGTCAGAGACAAAGCTGGAAGGTAAAATGTGCCGACTCTACTGACGGTTAGGACTGAAGGAGCAGAGGGGAGAGGACTGGAGGGGCAGCGGGGGTGAGGAGGGAGAAC